CCACGCCTGGGCCCCGCGCGCGGCCGGAGTCCGTGTCTGCTACTGCGCTACTCCGAGCCCACGCCCCGTGCCACCCCGAACGGCACGCGATCCTGCACACGAGGCTGGCACTACGCGCTGCCCGCGGCAGGCCTGCTGCGCAGCCCGGTCACCGAGGTGCGGGAGGACTGCCTGGGGTCTTCTGCAGGCTGCCCCTGCCTCTCTCCCCTTCTTTGTACCCTGCCTTGTTCTGTACCCCCATTCCTCTGTCCCCTTGCTCCTCTCCCCCCATTTCTCTGTTCCCCTTCCTCCGGTCCCTCTCTGCTCCCTCTTCTCTGTTCCCTCTCCTTTCTCCCCCTTTTCTCTGTCTCCCCTCCTCCACCCTCTTGCCCTTCTGCCCTTGCTCTACTGAGGCTCTCTGATGGTGCAGCTGATACTCAGGTTAGCAGGTTGCCTGGCCTAATGGCAGAGTATGAGGGCCAAGGGCTGCCAAGGTGGGCAGGCAGCCCGGGGAAGGAGGAGGAGGAGTTAAGCTGAAGGTATGACCAGCCAGGTAAGCAAGCACCAGTTCACTAAAGTGCCTCAGACATTTTGAGCCACCTGTAGCTTTGGGCTATGTTGAGACTGGTTTTGAAACAGAAGCCTTGGAATCAAGGGAGCAATATAGTCAGTTCAGTTCGCAAAAGGCAGACTTTCCACCTGTGAGGTGTGTGCAGGTTGGATTACAGGCAGGGGCATCCAAGGGAACAACTGAGGGTCTGGGTGGGAGGAAATAGGGAGGGGGAAACTGGTACCTTCTGTCACACTCTCAGCCCCACAGCTGCACCCTCCCTCTGCCCCACCACTCCGATACCTCTCCTCCCCTCCCCCAGGGAGGATGGCCCCAGTGTGGAAACTGGAGCAAGGTTCCACATCCCTGCCAGGCCCGCCTGGGGCCCTCTAACCGGCAGAGCTTCTCTTCTCCCACCCATTCTGTTCCACCACATACCTTCCCTCCTGCTGGTGTGCCAATCAATCTGCCCTACCAGCTTTCCCAAGTGGTTGGATTTTAAAATAAAAGCTCTGACACAGTGTGACCCTATCCAGGATGTTAACCTTGTAAAAAAGGCACAGGACCTTGGAAGGCAAGGTGGGGAGGTTTGGCAAAACTGAGGTCAAGGGCCCTTGACCAGGAAAACCAGGTGAGCACAGCCCTGCAGCCTATGCCCGGAATTGCTCTTGAAGTGAGCAGAGCAGGGGAGAAGCGAGGGCAAGGTCCTGGGGACCCTGGGAACAGCAGGTAGAAAGCGGTGTGCCCAGCCAAGATCCAGGCTCTAAGGGAGAGTGAGGGCTTGAAAAGGGTAGGTGAAACTCCATCTAGAGAAAACAGACACCAAATCTGGGCTCCATGTGGGTACTCTGGGGATCCCAGGTCATTACCTCCTGGGGGCTCAGGCCAGTAATTGTTTTGATTACACGTGAAGCCCACCAGAATCAGGAGACCACGTAGTGTGACTGAGCAGATCCCTTGCCCTCTCTGTACCACAGTTTCCCCTTCTATCCAGGGAGAAATAGGAGCAGGATGTCTAAGGCCCCCTTCCAGCCTGACAATCTGGGGACTCCAGCAAGGTGGGGGGACTGGCTGACAGGTGATGGGTGTCCCCTGCAGTGGAACCTCGTGTGTGAGGATGGCTGGAAGGTGCCACTGGAACAGATGAGCCACCTCCTGGGCTGGCTGTTGGGCTGTGTCATCCTGGGCATGGCCTGTGACTGGTGAGGTGCTGCCCCTCCTCTCAAGCCCCTCAGGGTCACACTAAGCCCCTGAGCTGTCCTGACCTGCATCCATGTGTGTCCCCCACTGCTCACCAGGTTTGGCCGTCGGGTTGTGTTTTTGGCCTCCCTGGTGCTGGCCACAGGCCTGGGTGCTGGTGAGGTGCTGGCTGCCAGCTTTCCTGCCCTGCTGGCCCTGCGGCTGCTTCATGGGGGGGCTTTGGCAGGGGCCTCTCTAGCTCTCTACGTGGCTCGTGAGTACCATGGGGGACTGGAAAGGGGCACCCACTCAGGCTAGGCCTCTGACCCCACTGGAGGGGGTCAGTGGCATGGGAGGACACTCTGTACTCGTGTTGAGGGCTCTTCTCAAGAAGATGGGTGGGCACTGTTTGCTTTGTGAGCTCTGCTGTTTGTAGGCAGGCTCAGGTGCTGGAGTGAGCAGGGAATTGGCCTCAGATGTCCAGCTCCTGGGCAGGTCAGCAGTTGGTCCCCACAGCCCCAGGCAGAGCAGCCCTCTCTGGAGGACTTGGCCTCAGGCCCTCTCTGTCTGCCCAGGCCTGGAGCTGTGTGACCCCCCGCACCGCCTGGTGTTTTCCATGGGGGCGGGCCTCTTTTCAGTGGTGGGCACTCTGCTGTTGCCCGGCCTGGCCCTGCTCGCACAGGACTGGCGCCTTCTGCAGGGGCTGAGTGCCCTAGCAACAGGACTGCTGCTGCTCTTTTGGGGGTAAGTGTGGCGGGAGATGGGTCAGTGGCCTCTGTGGAGGCCAAATGTTTTACTTCCCTCAGCACCTCCATGCAGCACAAGGCACATGGGCATGGGACAAGGACATAGAAAGCCACTTGATGTCCTGACCCAGGGTCTAGGGAGAAGAGGCCCCTGTCATCCCTGTGGGAAGGACCTGAAGGCATCCTCAACTCACCACTGCAGGTTCCCAGCCCTGTTCCCTGAGTCTCCCTGCTGGCTGCTGGCCACAGGACAGCTGGGCCAAGCCAGGAAGATCTTGTGGCACTTTGCTGAAGCCAGCGGTGTGGATCCTGAGAACAGCCCGGAAGAGGAGAGCTCCCTGGTTACGGGTAATGCGCCAGCCAAGAGAAGGGAGGCGTGGGTGCTGGAGGAGGAGAGGTGTCACCCCCACATACACGCTCCCTCGTGTTCTCTCATATCTATAGAGCTGGATGTGCTGTCTGCAGGGAGCCCCCAGCCCCAGCACCACTGGGTCCTGGAGCTCTGGCACACACGCGTCACCTGGAGGAACGGACTCATCCTGGGGTTCAGTTCGTGAGGAGCGGAGGGTGTGGGTGGGCTAAGAGAGGGAATTTTGCCTTGCTCCCTGTTAGCATTGTCACCAGAGTCCCCAGCTCTGGCTGAATCTGTAACTTGGCTCTCCCTCCTAGGTTGGTTGGTGGGGGCATCAGAGCCAGCTTCCTCCAAAGACTGGCCCCTCGTGAGTCGGCTTTCTATGGGCCCTACTTCCTAAGGGCTGGCCTAGAAGTGGCAGCCACCGTCTTCCTGCTCCTGACAGTGGATCGCTGGGGGCGCCGCCTGGTCCTCCTGCTGAGCACCTTGGTTGTGGGCCTGGCATCCCTGCTGCTTCTCTCAGGCGTCCAATGTGAGTGTGGGGCCCTGCAGGCATCATACAGGGTCATCCTGTTTGGTTGAGGTCGGCCCCATGGAGTGGGGAGGGCCTTGCGATCAGCCCTGTCCTGGGGTTGTAAGAGAGAAGCACGGTGTGTTGGGACAAGGCAGCTGTGCCTCTACCTTGTCCGTCTTCTCAGTGCGTACTCAGGGAAACCAGGGCCCAACGAGGTAAGGGGCTACAAGGATCTACACGCAGTGGCTAACTGAAAGGGCCTGGGCAGGGGCAGCCAGGACGCCTGATGCCAAACCCAGACCGAGTACAGGTGCCGGGGCAAAAGGCTGGGGTTGGCAGGCCTGGCAGGACCCCTGTGATACACCTGAGGGGAGGCTTTGAGCAGCCAGGTGTGGGTGGTGAGGGACCCCTCTCTTTGTCTGCAGACCTGCCGGGCTGGACCCTGCTGTCCCTCTCTGTTCTGGGGCTCCTGGCCTCCCAGGCTGTGTCCATTCTAAGCAGCCTTTTCGGGGCTGAGATCTTCCCCACAGTGATCAGGTGAGTTCTGGCTGCCCAGCCCCAGAGCCCCCTTGGAAACGGACAGCCCACACCCTTCCCTCCCTAGCGCATACCCAAGGCTTCTCCATTCCTTCACGACCAGAGTTCACATTCTTTTCCTGGGTGACATGGGGGACACTGGTATAGAGAGGTCAGGACAACAGCTCAGTGATGAAGGGGCCGAAATTGAGACAGCCCCCAGAGAGCATAGAATTTCAGGGAAAATTTTGTTTTCCAATTTTCTAATGAAAAGATCAAAACTTGTTCCAGGGTAGGGAGGATCAGCTTTTTCACAAAATTGTTTTCAGTTTTGTTTTCCTGGAGCCCCAGCACCTCAGGCTTTGCTGGGGGGCCAGCCCCTCCCTGGCATTGGACCTGCCTGGGAGCACAGCTCCATGTGCCACGTGCACATGTCCATCTGTCTGAGAGGGCGGCCACCTGCCCAGGCTGCCCACACTGCACCCTCTCCTGCAGGGGGTCGGGGCTGGGCCTCGTGCTGGCGGCCGAGTTCCTGGGCCAGGCGGCTGCCCCCCTCGCTGACATGCAAGGCCGGCGGGGCTTCTTCCTGCAACACGTGGTTTTCACCTCTTTTGCCATCCTCACTCTGTTATGTGTCCTGCTGTTGCCTGAGAGCCGTGGCCGTGGGCTGCCCCAGTCACTGGAGGACTCAGACCGCCTGCGCCGATCACCACTCCTCCGGGGCCGCCTCTGCCAGGACCACCTGCCTCTGCTGCCACCCTCCTACTGCCAGGCCCAGACACAGCTGTTTCAGGATGGGTGACTGGCTGGACAGACACTCCCCTCAGATGGCCACATGTCAGTGTGGGCAGAGGGGTCTCAGGGAGGAGCTGTGAGGTCAGCATAAAGGCGGAGCCCCCTGCTGGGCCCCTTGTTCCCGGGGGCCCCGACCCCCCCACCATGTGTGAAGAATAAAGGTGTCTATGAAACTGGACATCCTCCATGGTTCTTCCCTAAGACCTCATCCTGGGGCTGGAGGGGGCTTCCCACTCCAGGCTCCCCCAGGCCAAGGTGCCTGCAGCCCCTCCTACTGTGTGGGGGGCCAGCCCGCTATTGCTGCAGGACTGGGTGGAGTGATGCCCTGCAGGTCATTGTGCAGACCCAGCACTGGAGAGACAGCACAGTTTTAATCCGAATTTGCTGAGAGCTACGTCCTTTCACACACGGATGAGATCTGCATGGGGGCCAGAGCTGGGATGAGGGTGGCTGACCCCTGTCACAGGCAACTCAGAGCAGTGCCATGGGGCCATTGGATCAGGAGGGGCATCGCCTTCCCACAGCCCCACCCCAGGCTCTGGGCTCTGCCCCTGGGACTCCACACTCCCCTGGGAGAAGCAGGCTGCCCAAAGACCCCTGGGTGTGGGGCCAGGTGCTCGGTAGCCACCTCCATACAGGTCAGCTGGTCCTCCAAGCTACACAGCCAGATGTTGGCATGTCCAGTCAGACCCTTGTGGTCAGGCTGCCCATCCTGGTAAGCGTGTCTACTCTCTCTGTCCAGGTGGCTGTTCTTCTCAGCAGGGTGGGTGCAGAAAGCTCTCTTCCCTGTGCTGAGTGGCCATTGCATCCTGCCCTTGCTCCAGCCTTCAGAGGGGGCCATACAAGTCGGCCAGCCGGGCAAAGCGAGGACCCCAGTCCTGGAGGCAGCTGTAGTCTTGGTCCTCATCGCCCAGACTGGACATGATGGAGCTCAGTGTCCCCGCCATGGACCCATCCCCTTCGTAGTCATAGATGAGAGCCGTGTCATAGGGCGGGACGCTGAGGTCACCATCTGCAGCCTCCAAGCCCTACAGAGAAGGCCCAGGAGTTCAGGGCCCTTGCACACACAGCCCAGCTGCAGCACAAGGTGAGGTCAACCCAAAGTATGGCACCAGGAAGGCACAGAGGAGGTCTGAAGGTTACCAGGGGTTCAAGGAGCAGCCCTGAGTGTGTGGGCACCACTGGGGCTCCAAGTCCCAGGGTTCAGATTTGAAAAGAAGGTTCCCTCTGGGCGGCCTTTCTTCCTGGGGCCCAGCCCTCTCAGAAGACTGTGTTCTGCCTGGGGCTTCCTAACAACCCATCTGGAAGAACAACCGGTTCTGCCTGTTAGAGATTTGGCAAATGGTCTATGGCCTCCACCTGTGCTTGTCACTTCATCCATGTACACATCAGTTGCTGCAGGTTTGCATACCTCCTAACTGAACCTGCACCCGGGCCGCCCCTCACCAGGCATCTGTCTGGGGACTTTGAGCCAGGGCACCAAGTGTGTGGGCAGGCCCAGCACCTGGCACCCTACTGAGAAGTACCTGCATGCTCCCTGCTTGGCCCACTCAATTGGATTTTCATGTCCTGGGCATCTCCTGTGTTGACCTCAGCAAGTCACTGACACTGTGTCCACAGGAGCTACTACGGATGCTTGGGTTAGCTGACAGCCGCACTTCTACTGCAGGGGTCATTAGGTTTCCTCTGCCAGTGCTTGGTAGACAATGCTGCAGTCAGGCTTCAACCCACCCAGCTCAACTCGGCCCACTGCGATCCTGTGCAGGGGTCCACCAGGCTCCTCTTCCTATGGGGCTTTAGTGCCTAGAACCCTCTGTTCCCTCAGCCTCACTCAGCTCTCGGGGCCTCAGCAGCTTCCTAGAAGCTCGGCCAGGATCATTAGTAGTGAGCCCACTCCCTGCAACTGCGCACGTATGGGGGTACACAGAGGCACTTATATGTGGTGTGCATGCATGGGTATATGTGTGTGCACACACATGCATGCACACGTGTGCCCCCTGCCCTCATCACCCATGGGGGACCTACATCATTGATGAAGTCTGCCATGTCTGCAGGGCTGCTGGGCAGCCTGTGGGATGGCGGGGGGCACATCTGGCTGAATGGGGCATCTCGGCGCAGTGGTGGCCGTCCCAGAGGGGCACTCAGGGTTGCCAGCTTGGATGGGTGGCGCAGCTGGCTGATGTCATAGGCATCCTGCAGACAAAGAGTGTGGACTTAAGCCTAGATTGATGACCGGGTTTCCCTCCCAGGCACCTTCTTGAGACGGCACATCAGGTTGGGGTAAGGGCAAAGGGCCTCGGGGGGCTGACAACCAAGGCTCCCTGGGACCCTTCCCATCCTAGCTTAACATTCTGAGCTACCACATCCTGGTTCTGCCTTTAGAGGTAGAATCCGACCCCTGCCCTTACCTGGTCCTCCTCCCCACCCCCTTGCTCATCGTAGTTAAGGATGTTGTCCCTGAGGTCGTCCTGCAGTCCCTGTAGAAGCCCCTTGTCCCATGATGGCTGCCGGAACTGCGTGAGGAGAGCCACCGGCAGGGCGAGCACTGGGTGGGAGGACAAGGTGTGGTTGGTGCTAGACGTGGCTGCATGGGGGGTGGCGGCACTGGGGAGAGGAGACGTGGGGAGTGTCCGAAGGCACCAGGGTCTAAGGGCAGGGGTCTCAGGGTATGGGCACTCACAGAGCAGCAGGATGACACTGGCCAGCACAATGGCCAGGGCGCCCAGGCTGATGCCTGTGCCCCTTGCCCTCAGCGCAGCGGCCCCCTGCAGGCAGGTGCCATCCTGGCCACAGTGGCACACAGTCACATTCAGGGGCTGCTCGTGCTGCTGGGGCGGCTGCCCTGAGTCCCGGAGCAGCAGGCTGAGGCGGTGCAGCCCCTCCTGGACCTGGTGCCGCAACCGCAGGCGAGCGTGGCTCACTGTGGAGGGTGCCAAGGTCAGCGAGGGCCCTCCTGGGATGGCCATGCCCCCTCCATGCCCCAGGGGGATCATGAGATGCTGGGTCTCTTGCCCATCTGCCCACCAAGTGTGATAACTAATCCCCATCCCCATCCCCTGGGGGTGTGCTAAAGTGGGAACCAGCAGGACTGTGTCTTGAGTGCCCTCCCAGGTCCAGGTCCACCCTGGGGGGTGGAGCTCACTGTTAATCTGGCTGAGGCTCCAGTTCTGTGCCAGCTCTGGAAACCTGGGGCTCAGCAGGAAGTGGAAGGGGGCCCCATGGGGGGGCAGGTCCTCATCCGTGGCACCCAGGAGAAGGCCAGAGCCCTGGTCTGGCTCACTGCACAGGCTTCCAGATGGTGGGGACAGCTCAGGGGCATGGTCATTGACCTCCAGGATTTCAATGGACAAGGTCCCGGTGGCTGTGCGGGGTGGGGAGGCTGCAGAGAGAAGAGACTTGGTGGGTGCTCGTCCCTGCCAGAGCCTACTGTTCACCCTGTAAGTCTGCTCAGTGGAGGCCCTGGCTCTCAGCCCCTGGGCCAGTGGCAGGAATTCCTGGCCTGGGCCAGAGAGCCTTGGAGCCCAGGTATGAAAGCATGCTCACCATCGTCGTGGGCCAGAATGATGGCCCTGTACCAGCCATCCTTGAGGAAGGGGGATGCTGGGCTGAGCACACGCTGCGTCTGGACCCAGCCTGTGGCTCCATCCACTTGCAGCCAGTCCTCCGGGTCGTAATCCTTGGTGTAGCTGTCAGCCAAGGCGGGGGAAGGGAACAGGATGGCCCTGAGCTCCACGGGCCCCCCTAGAGTTGTGGGCACGTATGGACATGCATACATGCATCCCTTGTACACATACAGCACACACACACACACCTTTGAGGCCCTCAGGTACTTTCCATCCCAATCCACAGATCGGGAAACTGAGGCTCAGAAAGGTAGGTGAGCTGATGAGGGCTCCATGGCAACCAAGTGACACAACACGGCATCACACAGGTAGGATTCAACCCAAGGCACAGTGGGGACAGACATAGACACCCAGGGCCGGGGCTGGGGGTGAAACCCAAGAGCCAGTCCCATGGGAACACGGGCCAGAATGGATAGGGCCAGACACCCAGAAGCTGGTTGGAATAGACTGTGGTGGTGTCAGTATGCCTGACCGCAGCCCAGTCCTATCTGTGGAATAAGGTCACACCAACATTTGTACACATGGGACCTGAGACCCCCCTGAACCATCAGGGACACACACAGGCACATGAGCCCTCCACCCTTGGACCAAGGTCCCAACAGGACCCCTCAGGGCACACAGGTTGCAGTGCTCTCAGCTGTGCTCCTGGCCTCTGCAGGGAAATGGGGAAGTGGGGCTATCAGCTCCCCCCACCTCAGCCCTGGGGCCCCTGGAGGGCACCTGAGCCTCTGCAGCTGCTGTGTGTCGGGGTCTCGGGCAGAGAAGGTGGCCACGGGGGTTCCTGGGGCTGCCCCCTCCACCAGGCTGGTCCTCAGGGGGTTCTCCTGGAACACGGGTGCCTCATTGACATCTTGCACCTGGACGCTGACTCGGGCCTGGTCCCACTGTGCCCTGGGGGCCGCTGCCAGCAGGGGGGCCTCGTTCTGCACCACCACTTTGAGGTCATACTGGTCACAACTCTCATAGTCGAGGGGCTGTGGGGAGGAAGCAGAGCCGGTAGCTTGCTTGGGACCCTGGCCCTCCACGTTTGGGCCCCCGGAGTCAGGTATGGGGGGAGAAGGCCTTCATGTGCTGCTGTCCAGGGCCCTGGATCTGTCCTCAGAGCCCCCACTGTGCTTTTTCTTTACAGCCTTGGAAAAAATAAAAATAATGCAGGACAAAAAAGGCACAAAGAATAATGTAGAAATGATAAATGGCACTCATCACTCGAAACAAATTTGTTAGGTGTTGTGAGGTCCGTTTTACATGGCCTTTGGCTGGGCGGTCTTCCCCAGCGGCTCACGCAAACATTCATCTGGGTGTTGCCAGAGGCAGTTAGTAGCTGTGGTCAAATTAGCTTCTACCATCTGGGTGCGCCTCATCCACAGCTGAGTCTGTGAGAGTGAAACCAAGGTCTCGGGGGAAGACGGAATTCTGCCGGGATCCCGCGGGAGGCCGCAGCACCAGCTCCGAGGCTTCTCTCACCCTGTAGATCTCAGACTTGCCCAGCCAGCCCCTGCAGTCGTGCGAGCCAGTTTCTTGCAATAAACATTTTCATGTCTAAATATATCTATGTCTGTACATATGTGAACATATATATATGTATGTGTGCGCATGTTTTTCCTACTGTTTCATATCTGACATGGGTGCTGTCTGCATTTACACATGATCACACACCTGAAGTGGCAGCATGCTGCAAGTAACACACTGGCTTGTGGGTGGCCCTGTTGCCCTGAGGGCAGCGTGGCCTGAGCTGGCAGGTACAGGGTTTACCGAGGACCCAAACACTGTCCCAGGGCATGAGGGAAAGAGCCCTCCTCAGCTCTGCCCACAGTGATACCCAGTCTGGGAGGCTGTGCACCCCATTCACCTTCACCACGGACAGCACGCCTTCGTTGGTCTTGGGGTCTGTACGAATAGCGAAATGCCCATCAGGGTCGCCCTCCAGGATGGTGAACCTGGCTGCCCAGTTTGGGGAACCTGGCAGGTCCTTGTCTTCCACCTCTAGCCGTCCCACGTCGATGCCACTCATGGCCTCTGGGGCCTCCACGAAGAACTGTGGGAGCCCGTTCCTGTTACCTGCCAGGGTTGTCAGGGGCAGGGTGCCTTCCTTTGCCCCTCCCAGGTAATAGCTACCTACCCACTGGAGACCTCCCAAATGTGTTTGTTGCTAGAGCCACTACCTCCCCCTGGGGGTCCCATGAGCCCCATCTATGGGTTCAGTTGCACAGGGGTTTGGAGGAGGCACAGAGGGATCCTGGGCTGCTTCTCCTACTGCCCCTCTCCTGGCTCCTCCTGACTATTTACTGCTCACAGGCACCGCCTCTGTGGCCCCCAGTCAGGTCTCTGCACTACCTGTGCAGGACTCCTCATCCAAACCACCCAGCCTCATGCCCTCCACGAAGCCCTGGACCCCACTGGGCCTGGGAGGGAAGGGCTGTAGAGCAGGGGCTTGTGGGGTGGGGCAGCAGTGGCACCTCATCCCTGCTGAACCCGGGGGCGTTGTCATTGACATCCTTTAGGGTGATGATGGCGGAGGCAGTGGCGGTCAGGCCATCTCCAGACATGTCTGCCACTTGTAGGGTCAGGTTGTACACGGCAACCACCTGGGGATGGCAACAGGGGTTGGGAGACAGGATGGTCACAGGGCCAGGCAAAGAGCAGGCCACTTGCAGACTCAGCCCACGTAGGAGAACCATGTGGCTGGCAGAGGCTCCAAGACCCCGCCTGTCTCCAAGCTCTGGGGCAACATGTGCTGCCTGGCCTCTTGGAGTCTGATGGCACTGCTCTCAACCCTAGACTCTGCCCCAGCCTAGGAGTGGGCAAAAGGTCAGTTACCAAGTCAGACAAGCATCTACAGAACACCAACTACATGCAGGATGCCGAGGGGTCCTGATGAGCTGGGTCCCTGCCATAGCAGAGAGAGGGGGGTGGATGAAGGTCACCTAACACAGTAAGTGACCGGGCAAAGCCACACAAGTGGCTATGGAGAAACCTAGAAGGGCTTTCTGGATGTGTGACACAGGAGTCTGGCAGTGAGGGCAGCAGCAGTCCTGACAGAGGACGGCCATTGCTCCAGAGCATGAGGGGCCACTATGGGGCACAGGGGGTGACAAGCCCAACTGCTTCATAGGCAATGGGTGGGTGCTTTTGGCAGGAAAAATGCTGAGGATGTGTCAGGGCCAGGCACGGCACTGAGGGCCATCCATAGCCTCTCTCTACCTAACCCCACAACCACCTAGCAAGTAGGTATAGAGAGCCTAGAGCCGCTGTGGGCATCTGCAGCAACAGGGCTCCCACTTCCACTGGAGGGGAGGGAGAGTCTGTCTGAGCAAGTCTGGATCAGAGGGCCAACTCCACACGAGCTGCCCCTGCCCACCCAAGTGTCAGCAAGATGGACAAAGATTGGTCAAATGTGACTCTGCCTTCCCTGCTGCCAGCTCTCAAAGCAGAGCAGCAGGGCCTCACCTCGCGGTCCAGGCCCACTTGCACTGTGCGTATCTCCCCCGTGTGCTCATCGATGCTGAAGAGCTGTGGGCCGCTCTGCTCCAGGACAGAGTACCGCAGGGCTGCGTTGTCCGTTTCCGGGTCATCAGCATCTGTGGCCTCGGCTTTGGTCACAAAGGTGCCTGGGAAGGATGAGAACTTGTAAGACACCCATGGGTGCCAGCTCCTAAGTTTCATTCCTCTGTGGCCCACCATGCCAGGTCCAGGCCCCCCATCAGACCTGTGCAAACTTGAATGCCCAAGCCTTTTGCCTGTGTTACTTGTGGGGGAGGAAGCAGGAGTGTATGTCACCTGTTTGGTCAAGAGCAGATACCTGCATTTCCCACAAGACACTGAGGCAGCCCGGCAGGGGCTGAGAGTACTGGGTTGGACTAGACAGCCAGCAGGAGAACCTGGGGCTGGCCCTGAACCTGAGCTGCTTGGTAGATAGAGGGTGTGCCAGCACACCCAGCAGGCACTATCCTCAGCCCCACCTACAGAGAGAAGTGGTGCCCGGGGCTGAACTCTGCTTTGGGGCAAACAAGCCACTGAATCTCAGGAAGGAGTGGGGGCTAGGCACAGGCCAGGAGGCTCCTCAGTGCCTGTCCCCCCACTCATTTTCCATCTGGTGAGACTTAGGCCTGACCTTTATCCTTCCCAAGCCCAGGTGTACACCATAGGCCACATTAACATAAAGGAACAAAATACATACATACATACATACATACATACATACATACATAGGGGAGATGTGAAAGTTCTACCATATAGTAGAAAGCCAACTAAAAAAAGGCTTCAATATGACAAACACAACTGAAAAAATGATGGAATTAGAAAAGCACCGTTTCACAGCTGTCCGAATGACAATGGATTCAGGCAAGAACCATCAGCAGAACTTCTGGCCAAGATGGAGGCATAGGTGGAACACTGTGCCTCCTCGCACAACCAAGTTTAAAGACTACAAAGTTTTTGTAACAAAAACATAACCAAAACACAGAAAATTAAACTGTACAGAAGTCTGACAATAACGAACCATTCAGCCAGACCAGTAAGTGGGGCAGAGTCAGAGGCTGGTGGAGTGGAGTAGGGCAGGAAAAAGTGGCCAGACTGACCCAGGTGCGCAGGCGGCCGTTGGCAGATCCCAGGTGTGGGGTAGCAATGGGTGGACCCAGTGGGGGTGCAAGGCGCCTGGCTGACCACGGTCACACATTCACACACAGATAAACCAGGCAAAAGAGCCAGCAGTGAGACAGACTGTGCAGGCTAGGGCCCCAACAACAGGAATTAAAGCCTTAAAGCACCAATTGGAAAAACATTTGGGGTTGAGGTGCCTGGAGAAACTCCCAGGCTCACAGAGAGTTTGTTGGAGAGACCCACAGGGTCCTGGAGGGTGCACAGGCCCACACACCCAGGAGCCAGCACCAGAAGGGCCCGGTTTGCTTGTGGGAAGCAGCAGATGGGACCGAAATCCAAGAGAGACCAGAACAAACGCCATTGCCCCTCTGACCCTGCCCCCACATACGGTATCACAACCCAGCTACTGGGTCACCCCACCCTGGTGAACACCTAAGGCTCCACCCCTCATACATAACAGGAGCAAACAGACCAAAACATTATGGCTCAAGATGAAGAACAGCTCAAAGCCCCAGAGCCAATACTTCTAAGCAACCAAGAGATAGCCAACCTCTCAGATGCACAGTTCAAAACACTGGTGATCAGGATGCTCACAGAACTGGTTGATTTTAGTCACAAAGTAGAGGAACAAATGAAGGCTAAACTAATTGAAATGAAGGGAAATACACAGGAAACCAATAGTGATGGAAAGGAAACTGGGACTCAAATCAAGGGAGTGGACCAGAAGGAAGAAAAAAATGACCAAACAGAAAAGAATGAAGAAACAAGAATTCAAAAAAATGGGGAGAGGCTTAGGAACCTCCAGGACATCTTTAAACGTTCCAACACCCAAATTATAAGGGTACCAGAAGGGGAAGAGGAAGAGCAACAAGTGGAAAACTTATTTGAACAAATAATAAAGGAGAACTTCCCCAATCTGGCAAAGGAAATAGACTTCTAGGAAGTCCAGGAAGCTCAGAGAGTCCCAAAGAAGTTGGACCCAAGAAGGAACACACCAAGGCACATCATAATTACATTAGCCAAGATTAAAATGAAGGAGAGAATCCTAGAAGCAGCAAGAGCTAAGGGGACAGTCACCTACAAAGGAGTTCCCATCAGACTGTCAACTGATTTCTCAAAAGAGACCTTACAGGCAAGAAGGGGCTGGAAAGAAATATTCCAAGTCATGAAAGGCAAGGATATACATCCAAGATTGCTCTATCCAGCAAAGCTTTCATTTAGAATGGAAGGGCAGATAAAGCACTTCTCAGATAAGGTCAAGTTGAAGGAGTTCATCATCATCAAGCCCTTATTATATGAAATGTTAAAGGGACTTACCTAAGAAAAAGAAGATAAAAAATATGAACAATGAAAGGACAGCAAACTCAGTTACTAACAACCACACCTAAAACAAAAGCAATCTAAGAGGACAGGTAGATCAGGAGCAGAACCATAGAAATGGAGATCACATGGAGGGTTTGCTTCAGGGGAGTGGGAGGAGGAGAAGGGGAAGGGGGGAGAAGGTACAGAGAATAAGTAGCATAGACGGTAGGTAGAAAATAGACAGGGGGGAGGGCAAGAATAGTGCAGGAAATATAGAAGATGAAGAACTTGTGACATATGGACATAAACTAAAGGGGGGTAATGGTGGGGGAGGGGGTGTGCAGGGTGGAGGGGAATGAAGGGGGGTAAATGGGACAACTGTAATGGCATAATCAATAAAATATATTAAAAAGAAAAATAAATAAACATTTAGGAGTTTTTCAAAGATAAAAAAAAAAAGAACCATCAGTGGATGCTAAAACTAGTGGCTGGAAGTTTGAGGGATAGCAGGATACTTGCACAGTCTCAAAATACCTTCCACAAGCCACCTATCAGTTAAAAAGGCAAAAACATAAAAATCACAGTGGCGAAGCCTCACAGACACGCCCTTCACTTGGTGGATCGGGAATGGGATGTGTGTGCCTCCTGATATGATGGAGGAGGGCATGACATCACTTCTGTGGGCATCTCATCAAAACCATGAAGCGCAAATACAATCACATACACCCACATTCAGAGATAAACTTCAATATTGTTGCTTAAATGCTCCAGGATGTCCGTGTTGTGATTAAGGAGGTGGAAGACTTGTATGATGGAAACTACAAAACATCGCCAAAAGAAAGTAAAGACAACAAATTGGGAACGCATCCCGCAGTTGTGGTTTGGAAGACCTAATATTGCTGAGATATCAGTACTGCACAAAGTGGTCTACAGATGCAGTGCCTCCCCGGCAGAATCCCATGGTGCCCTGACCAGCGTGTCCCCGTTGGTTGGGATCGTCACCAGTTCATTTCCTGGTCAGGGCACGTGCCTAGGCTGCGGGTCTCATGTGAGAGGCAACCAATCAATGTTTCTCACATCAATGTTTCTATCTCGCTCTTCTTCCCTCCCTGCCCCTCTCTCTAAAAATAATCAATCAATGAATCAATTCATTTTTTAAAATCCCAGGGACTTTTTTTTTGCATACACAGAAAAATCATTGTAATGTTCATATGGACTCTCAGGGAAACCCAAACAGCCAAAACAACCTTGAAAAAGAAGAACAAAGCTGGAGGGCTCACAGTTCTGACTTTAACGCTCACTCTGAGGCACAGTAACTAACAAAGTGTGGTGCTGCCGTGAAGACCGGTACACAGACCGACGGACTAGAACAGAGATCCCAGGAATAAACCCTCACCCATGTGGCCAAGTGATTTTGACAAGGGGGCAATGACCATTCAGTGGGGAAAGGACAGGCTTCAGGAGACAGCGCTGGGAAAACCGGATAGCCACGTGCAGAAGGATGGACTGGACCCACAGTTATCTAACACCACATATGAAAATTAACTCAAAATGAATCAAAGACCCAAATGTAAAACCTAAAACTATAAAACTCTTAGAAGATAATGCAGAGGAAGAGCTTCATAACACTGAATTTGGCAATAATTTCTTAGCTATGACACCAAAGGCACAGCCACAAAAGAAAAAAGAAACAAATTGGACTTCATAAAAATTTTAAAGTTTTGCTCATTAAAAGACTATATCGAGTGAAAATACAACCACAAAATGGAAGAAAATATTTGAAATCACATATCTGATAAGGATTTATATCCAAAATACATAGAGAATGCCTAAAAACTTAACAACAAATACACAAACCAACTCAAAAACAAGCAAAAACTTGAATAGACACTTCTCCAGAGAAAATATGCAAAAGGCCAAAAAACACATGAAAAGCTGCTCAACATCACTAATCATTGGCGAAATGTAAATTAAAACTACATGAGATACCGCCTCACATCCACCAGGGCGGCCGCTGCCAAAGAGCAGAAAAGGAGCGTCAGCAGGGTTGTGGGAACCTGGGACCCTTTTGCCCGTTGGGGGGGACTGTAAAATGGGGCAGCCGCTCTGGAGAACAGTATTCAAAAGGTTAAAACAGAACTACCACATGACCCAGCAATTACACTTCTGGGGATGTACCCGAAGAATTGAAAGCACATTTGTACATCCGTGTTCACAGCAGCACAAACTCTCAAAGGCTGATGGCAGGTTAACTGACAGCTCACAACAGCTAAGACATGGAAGCAACCCCGGTCTCCATCAATCAATGAGTGGGCAAGCAAAACATGCTCTCTAAAAACAATGGCATATTAGTCAGCCTTTTAAAAGGAAGGAAATTCTACCCTGGCTGGTGTGGCTCAGTTGGCTGGAGCATCCCATGGACCAAAAGGTTGCGGGTTCAGTTCCCAGTCAGAGCATGTGTCTAGGTTTCGGGTTTGGTCCCAGTCGGGGTATGCGCCAAAGGCAGCCAATTGATGTTTTTCTCTCACATCAGTGTTTCTCTCCCACTCTCCCCGCCCCCTCCCCCACTTCCCTTCTTTCTGAAAATCAATAAGTATGTCCTCAGGTGAGGATAAAAAAAAAAAGGTAGGAAATTCTACATGGATGAACATTATGGTAAGTGAAATAAGCCAGAGAGAAAAAGACAAATACTGTATAATTCCACTCACATTAAGCACCTTGTCAATTCATAGAGATAGAAAGTAGAGCAGTGGGCGCCAGGGGTTGGGGGAGGAGGAGATGGGACATTAGTGTTTAATGGGGACAGAGGTTAGTTTGGGAAGATGAGAAGAGCTGTGAGGATGAATGGTGGTGACGTTTGCACAACATGACAAATGCAATTAATACAGCTGAACCATGCACTTAAAAATGCTTAAGATATATGGGGTAAAAATGGGCACAACTGTAATTGAACAACAATAAAAATATTAGGATAGTAAATTCTATGTTATGTGTCTTTTACCACCATAACACATTTTTAAAAAAAGCCATTGTCATGAAAACCTAACAGCTAAGGAACGTTCCAGACAGAGAAGAAATGAGGAGACCTTGGTGCCTGGGGGTAGAAAGAGACCATCAGCTCCACCCGGATGACGGCAAGTGGGTGATCCACAAAACAGTCCTTATTTGAGTTCATCAGGTTGGTGAGGGCACAAGGCAACCCGATAAACAGGGATCCGGGACGTGAGCAGCTTCTCAGAGGGCAGTGGGACAGGTAGAGGCTTCCCCCTTTGGTGGAGCAAGGCGGGAAGGGAGAGGTCAAACTGGTCAAACTCTGAAAGGCTGAGGGTGAGTTAATCGACAGCTCACAGTTCTGGGAGTCCCGACCCAGGGTGTCTGTGCCCTGTTGTCCGTCCCTTCCCACAGACCCCTACTAAGTGCTCATGAGAAAGATGGCCCAGGAGGAGGCCCAGGAGGGCACCTGTGGCTCAGGCCTGCAGGTCTGCCTGGGTTGGGGCGAAGCAGGAGGACTGGAGAAGCCAAATGGTGCTCCGTACGGTTCACAATTACAGGGTGATGGTGGGGTTGTGGTGGAAAAAAGGACCTTGCCCTGAGCAGGAGGAGAGGTGTGTCCTTGGTGGAGGGGCAGGGACCCTGAACAAGCCCCATATCAGAGGCTCGGGTGTGCAGGGCCCACATATGAATGACTGAGCCCCCTGCCCCCATCAGTGGGTGCGGCAACAGAGGTGACCCAGCTACAAGTGACACCCGCTTACTACCCGCACCCCCAGAGTGGGGCCAACCCCCCAGTTCCCAGGCATTCACTATTTATGTCCATCTCTGCTGTTCTTTTATATGCAGAAGAGCAAGAGGAAAATCAGATCCATCCTCAAAGATCAAGCAGCCACCAGAACCAGAGCTATAGCTGACCAGACACAGGCTTTTACCCGACAGAGCACTGAAAGAACTAAGATCATTGTGCAAGAGGCTCTTATGGAAAAGGTGGGCAACACTCATGAACAGATGGGGAGCTCAGAAGGCAGATGGGGACTACAAGAAGAGGCAGGATTTTCTTTTGCTATAAAAGGCATTATTGGGCTCACTGAAGTGGACCCACCAAATAACGTTTGTAGATGAGATATTAATAAGTGTCAATATTGACTTCCTGATTTTGATAATTATACTGTAGCTAATTAGAATATATATACTGAAGGCAACAGGTCTACAACCAGCACCCAAGGAAAGAAGGAAGGAAGGAAGGAAGGAAGGAAGGAAGGAAGGAAGGAAGGAAGGAAGGAAGGAAGGAAGGAAGAAGGATGGAAGGGAGGGAGGAAAGGTTGAAGCAAACATGACACACATCACATCTCTGTGAAGGGTGTACAGAAATTCTTGGCAACTTTTCTGTAAGTATGAAATGTCATCAAAATAAAAAGTTAACGGTAGAAAAAGTATCATTTATTTAAGTCACAAAAAAAAACCAGAAAAATGAGATGAAATAAAGTACACATGACAAGGGTGGGCACCCCTCTGCCACAGCCGACGCTTTCCTGTCTGAAGCACACGACTTGCCTGGGATCTGACCAAGCCCCTGGGAGCAGCAGGGAAAAGGAGGGGACCGCTCTCTGGAATGAAATCTGTCTGCCTTGGAAAAGACTCAGACAAGTAACTCTGTTTTGTAAAGACTCATAAAGGACAGAGTGTTGTGCTTTGTTTGTTATCAAAATGTAGAATTAAGAAGCAATGAACCCGGGCTGGGTAGCTCAGTTGGTTAGAGCGTCATCTCAGTCATCAGCCTCATGTGCCAAGTTCTCAGGTTTGATCCCTGGTCGGGGCGCATACCGGAAACCACCAATGAAGGCATAAATCAGTGGAACACAGACTGCTGTTTCCTCTCTTTCTCTCTGCCCTCCCACTCCTTCTCTCTCTATTTACATTTTTTTAAAAAAGCAATGAAAGGGCATCACTGCTGGGCATGGGGTTTCCTTTCTGGGGGATGAAAATGTTCTAAAACTAGGTAAGGTGCTGGTGGCACAACACCGAGTGTAGTAAATGCCACTGAAGTGTTCATTTCAAAATGGTTAGTCTTACGTTATGTGAATTTCACCTGGATTTGAAAGAAGCAGCAGCAGCCAGAGCTTTGCACCCACAAATCCTATCATTGCACTTTGGAAGACCTGGGGGGTTAAAATTCATATTGAAATAAAAAGTGACTTGAGTTGACTTGTGAACATTCCGTCCGTACTGGAAACTGTTTACTTATTTTCAGACTCTTTGAAGGACCTCTTAGATTCTTGCTAAAGGGAAATCCCGGACCTCTGACCTACCCAGGGCCCCTCTGCAGCAGCCCCGCTCCCCAGGAGGAACAGTTGGGCCGGGTGGCCAGGCTCCCACCTCACCTGGCACAGCGCCCTCCAGCACTTGGCCAGTAAACACCTCTTGCCGGAAGACAGGTCTGTTGTCGTTCTGATCCACAACCACAATCTCCAGGTCTGTGGGCTCCTCCAGGGTGGATCCTCCGAGGTCCAGAGCAAAGGCCCTTAGCTAGTCAAGCACAGAGCAAGCACCAGCACTGTGATCCCCAAATCTCCATGGTTCCCATGAGGGCCATGCAAAAGGGACAACGAGTGCAGACTTCACATCTACCGAAAACGCCAACTTGGGGCTAGGCATGTGCTGCAGCAAGTGGAATTTTCCCTGAAGAGGAGACTGCTTTCTCAATGCAAGCAGGGTGACCGCCCAGCTTCCCCCCTTGCCTTAGCCACCAGGAAGCTCGCAGCTAAGTGTGACTGAAGTAACCCTCTCACTAGGATTCCTGGTCTCTCCCTTTTTCTGTACAGTTTTGGCTCCTCTTGAAGTTTGTTTTAATTCCTCTGTACACATGAAAATTTTAATTAAACCACTTCTTATTCTCCTGGATCATGGCCATGATACAATTTCCAGGTAAAGACATACTCTCTAATAACTTTTCGTGTGAGGAAACCGAAAGCTGTTCTTACAGTCAGAAGGAAGAATTGGGGCACACAAAGGCAAAGGCAGAGGCCCCTTACCCAAGGACAGGTCAGGACAGGGGCAGATTACTCTGCAGGCGACCCAGATCAGGTTCCTGCTCCCCCCGCCCCCCAGCCTCTTGCCTACCCAGATCCTATCTCGCTCTCTACTGCCTTTTCTCTCAGATCTCACAATCTCAACCCTCCAAGGGGTGGGTGGGTGGTGCCTTCCAGGGGTCCCCCTACCTCCCCACCAGGAATCAAGGGGCCCATGCTGCTGGGATTTGGCAATGCTGTGGATTCTTCCAACATTCTGTCCCCACCAAACTAGCCAGGTGGGAGAGAACTGGCTGTGGGTAAAGAGGGGTCCCCAGCACGCACGGTGCCTTTCTGGGAAGGCGGTGTCTGCCTGTGCTGCGGGCCACGCAGTCCTTCCGTCAGCACCAGGACACTCTTCCACGGGCCTCTGTGAGGGCCGTTGTTAAATGGGAATATAACCCCTGCTTCCTTGGGTTGCAGGTCCTAGGCCCCAATTCCCGCCTCTGCTTTCCCAACCTAAGAGTACCAGATCTTGCTGGAGAAGCGATTTGGCCTAATGTGCCCACAGGGAAGTTGGAGCCAGGTGAGGGGAGGGGCCCTACCCTAAAGCGGTCTGTCTTCTCCCGGTCCAGCGTGGCGTTCAGGAACACTTTGCCTGTGAACTTGTCAATAGAGAATACCCCCCGGGGCTCCTCGTCCACACCAGGCCCCTGGATGCTGTAGATGACTCCGCCCAGCTGCTGCTTGTCAGACTTGATCTGTCGTGGCAGGAAATGGGCTGGGGGAGGGGTCTCCAAGGGAGAGGTCTCTCTCTTCTCTGCAGCCTCAGTCCCTCCCCCCAGCTCAGCCTGTGGCCCCAACAGCGTCCCAGTCTTAAAGCACACACCTTTGGGGACCCGCTGGGGACCCCCAGCCCTTGCTCTGCCCATTCTAGCCGCCTGCCCTCACCTGCACCAGCGGATAGGGGAGGCGCTTGTGGTTCTCCGACACGCTGATGGGGGGGATGACCCAGGCTCTCCGAACACGGCCCAGCGCAGGCGCCTGGAGCCAGGGAAACAGGGTGCTGGGCCTCTTCAGCCCCAGAACCCCCAATGAAAGGCCCAGGCCCTGCAACAAAGATGAGAACAGCTGTCACACAGCCCGAGTCCTCAGTGAGCCCGGGGAGCAGGCAGTGTTGAGAGCTGCTCCCCCTCGGTGGTGGGTGAGTGAACGACTCCCCACTCTGGAGGGCAAGGGGCACCTTGCTCCACATCAGAACCCTGAGCTCCCACTCTGGGAGGCCCCAGCAGACACACCCCAAAGCCTGGGGCCCCCAACGCTCAGGTCTGTCTCTCACCCTCCCCTGGGAGGCCCAGAGTCCAGGGAGCAGTCCATAGGCCCTGGATGACCAGGGAAAGCTGATCATGCTGTACTCCCATCTCATCTTCCTGAGGGACAAGTATCTTCCTCCCACATGGCCCAGGGGAGGCTCAGGTTGTCGGGGGGTGGGAGCCAAGGGGTGTAGAGAACCTGGGACTGGGAGAGGAGGCCTTGCAGGGAGCAAGTGACGAGTAATGGGAGAAACAGCTGGCCCAGCCGGGGCCCCTCCCCAGGGATGGACCCTTGTGAAGAATGTGGACAATGGGGTTGGGGGTGGCAGGCAAGGGAGGCAGAGCCTGGGGGCACTCCTGCCCCTTCCACATGGCTGGGTCTGTGGGAGATGGCGGTGCGGGGGCTCCTGGCTGCAGGCTGGGGGCAGTGAGGGCAACACATGGCCACCCCAGGCCTCCTCGCAGCTTGGATTCTTGAGGATTGGTTGGGGTCCGCTAGACCAACGCTTTGGTCAGAAGAGGCCCAGAGACAGGAAGGGGCCATCCGAAGGGCCGGAGCACCTCCACCTCCCCTCCAGCCTGTGCTGTTTTTCTCAGAACTGTGGGACAGGGTGCCATTTTCACACCAGTACCTTCGTTCCTAGCACCTGGAGCACGCTCCTCCCTCCCAACCCACACGGCTGGTCCAGCCATGTGCGATGCCATGACTCAAGTTGCAGCGGCCGGTCTGTGGGGCTGCAGAGGAGGTCGAGGAGCGCTCCGCCCTGGGGTGAGGGGCATGCAGACTACTGGGCAGGTCGGGCTGGGAGAAGGGCCAGGACTTCCCCCAGACCCGCTGCCAACCCTCTGTCACCACAGGTAGCCCCGTCTGTCTTACTGCTCGGACACAGAAACTGAGGTCCGAGAGAAAGGACCCATCCTATGAGTTGAGGGCAGAGCCGGCAGCAGCCCCACAAATGCACCCCGTGTTTCCCAGGTGGCCCTGGCTTGCACCTGAGGTCTCCGCACTGGCTCCTCAACCAGCTGCTGGCTGGCCTAAGTGTGGGCTCCGGCCAGGAGGTCCTGGGGGCCCCAGTCCTCTACCGGGCTCATGGGTGAGGCCCACTCCGGTGCAGCTCTTGGACAGGCTGTGTGGGGTATGTTTCTCACATACCCCTGTAGCTAAACCCAGCTAAGACCGTGTAGGTGACTGAGCTCCCTTTCCCCACCACAGGCCCTAACGTCCCTTATCCTGGTCAGGCCAGGATCTGATCTGTGCCCCCAGAGATGGGCCTAGGAGCTGTCTGTCTCTGGGACCCTGGGCCCTTCGAAAGGAGCTCTTTTCTAGCCGAGGTAGACCAGGGGGCCCAGGGCCCCTCCAAGCCCCTCAAACTCCCTTACCAGCTGCCTGGTCCTGCTGACTTCTGCTTTCTCTCCCTTCCTGCCCTGGAGAGTATGGAGGGGCAGCATGGGAAGGGGTGGGCTGGTGGCCTCAGGGAGTAGGGTCAGTGTGTGGTGAGTGGGGGGTTCTTTGGGTGGGACTGGGGCAGAAGGCTGTTGTGCCTCGTACTCCTCTCGCTTTCACTCTCCTCAGTTGCCTCCCCTGCCCGCCCAGGGCTTGTTCTCTGGGCCCAGGGCAGGGCACAGGGGTCCTCAGACACCTTGTTGGGAGAATGGCAGTAATGTCCAAGCTGAAGCTGATGGCCTCCCCCATGGCCCCAGGCCACCTTCCTGGTGGTGGAGTCCTCCTGCCAGCGCCTCGCCTGAAATGCCAGGGGCGTGTCCCTACAGGGCCTTGAGTCCAGGCAGCAGAAACCCAGTTTATAGACAGAGCCAGGCAGCTGGTCAGGCGCCCGAGCTCCCTGCAGCCTGGCAGATGGCAGCCCTGGCCTCTGAGCATGCCGAGGGCCAGAACCACCCAAACGCTGGCCTGGTGTTGCCACCCAGTGGAGACCTGCCCGGCCTTTGTCACCACGCTAGTGAAGACAGCGTCTCTTTTCTGAGCATCCGTGGGCAGCACCAAGCTCGCATCCTTCCTCGTTCCTTGCCTTTCCCTCCCTCCCTCCCCTTCCCCAGACCCTCTCTCATCCCCTAGGAATGGTGGTAATCATCTCACTCACAGCTCCTCAGGGTGAGGCTCAGAGAGGCCGAGCCACCATTTGCTCAAGGCCACAAAGCGGGGACACAGCAGAGCTAGGAGCCCAGCACTCACAGTGGTGCCTGCCCTGCCTTGACTGCAGCATGGGGTGGGCACAGTCCACTGGTGCTCCGTGACCTTAGACTCTTAGGGGGACACTGGGAGACACACTCTGCCCTGTCCAGCTGCTGCCACACATGGGCTGGCCCCTGTGCTAGCCGCCGCACCCCCCCACCCCGCCGCCGTCTACCACAGTGCCTTGGTCTCGTTCCCTTCCTACCAGCAACCTCTACTGACACTCCAGGATGCCTGGCAGCTTTGCGTGGGGGCAGTATGGTGGAGGCACAGTGTGGGAGTCCTGAGCCCCAGTCTGTCCATGGCCCAAGTTCAAGAGGTCAGCAGAAGCCACAGAGCCTTGACAGGGGACCCTTACCCAGATCAGAGGCTGTGGTGGGTGGGTGGCTGGGCTAGACTGCCGGAGGTCAGGAGCGCTTCTCAGTTTGCCCTTTGTCCCCCCACCACCCCGGTCCCAGAAGATGTGGCTGGATGAGGGAAAGGAGCCGCCCGGGGATCATGGGACAAAGCCACACGGACAAAGCCGGCTCACACAGCGGGTGTGAGCTGCCTGCCCAACACGCAGGCAACACCCTCGAGTGACACATACTCATATGTGCCACCCACCTTGCTGTCCCCCATGTCAAACCAGAACCAACAGTTCTGGACCCACCACCCTCAAATGGACCCAATGACTCCCGCCTTAGGCACCCTTGGTCTGCCCTTAACCAAGAACCTGAGAGAACATGCTGGAGCCCTAGAGATGCCAGGGCCCCTCATTGGGGTCTGCCCCAGCACTGGCACCCAACCCAGGGGCTGCCAAGTAATGGAGCTCCCATGACATACAGAGGGAGCACTTGCTACAGCCAAGCTGAGTGGTGAGCGTCTTACAAACACCCTTGCAGAGGCTGGAATGGTGGTGCCCCACCAGATCTGGGCAAGGGTCCTGGGCCTGTGGGCAGCTGGCCACCCACTGTCCTGACGTTCCCATCCCATAGGACTGGTGACTGCACCTCCCCGCTGGTCAGAAAGTGTGGGCAGAACTGTGGGACAGAGGCTCTTCACACAGGCCTGGATTCCAAAAGCTGGCTAATGCAAGGATCACGGGGGAAGGGTGGTGGCTGAAGGAGGGATTCTGTGAGTGTACCTCAGACTTACTGAATTAGGACACGCAGGTGGTCCCGAACTCTGCGAGATTCTTCGAAACACTGGGGAAACCAGGCAGCCACTGGGCTGAAAGGTGGGACTTCAGGGTCACACAGCCTTGATGTGGCACTGGCCACAGAGGCAAGTCCTTCCACATCTCAGGGGCTCTGCGTGTGGGCTGACACTAGGGCCTGTGGCCAGACAGAGCACAAGGTGAGCGCTGAGTAGGGATATCTGTGCCAACACCATTTCTGCCCAGAGGCAATGGAGAGAAGGTGTCTGTCCTGCTCGTGGGCCCGGGGCAGCCCACAGGGCTCTCTGCTTCTCTCCATCAGCCCAGGTGGGTTCAGAACCAGGAATTATAAGGCATAGGCCCCTCTCCCAGGAACCTGGGAAGAAAGCTGGGCTTGTGGCTGGATGCTCACCACCTTAGGAAGAGATGCTAATGACCAGAGAAGCTGGGTGGAAAGTAAGGAGACACCCTACCCACTTCCCCTTTTGGCACAAGGCCCCTAGAGGCCCCTGGTGAAAGGCAAGTGGGGGCCTGGGCTTGGGCAGGGTGTTTGCTGGTTGGGGTCTGCCTCCCCAGAGCCCTGTCTGTGGCTGTACATCCTGGTTGGCTAAAGAGGAGCAAGGATTTTCTATTCCACCCACTCCTGGTGTAGTGGGCAAACCTGAGAAAATGCGGATGCAGCAGCAGCTTGGGGAAGGGTCCTGGGTGTGGGGCACCCCTCCAACAGTGCCAAGGCCCTGGACCTTCCAGATTCTAAGAACCATGGGGGGAGTGCAGGGCAGAGGGGAATAAAGGGGAGAAAAAATGGGACAACTGTAATAGCAGAATCAATAAAACATAAAAAAAAAAAGAGCCAGGCAGGAGGCCTCTAGCCTGGTAGAGCCTGGGCTTGGGGAGAGGGCAGGTGCTCGGGAGGCAAGAATCCCTGTTCTGGACGCCCCACGAGCTTCTGAGGCCCGAGCCCCTTTCCCCACGGCTGGAATCCAGGCTACCCCATTCCTGGATGGCCTGCTGAGCACCAGGCATGCCAGGAATGGACCCAGTTGCCGGCTGGCCCCCACGTTCCCCTCCAGCTGCTGCAGCCTTCAGGGAAGGAATGAGGGCAGCCGGGCGAAGCGCCTCTGCTCCTCCTGCTGTGACAAACTGCCACCACGATCCAACCATCCTGGAGAGGCGGTGGTCCAGGAGCTGACTTCTGCCTCTGCCTCCGTGACCGTTACCACCCCCCCCCTCGTTCGTCGTCCCCCCCCCACCCATCCTGGAGGAGTTGGGTGTTTCTGCTGTGCCTGCCGTCTTGTTCTAGGCACTTTCCTGCATGACCCCCTGGGGGTCTTCACACTTTGCAAAGCCTCCAGGAGTGTGGCTGAGGCCCCATCTTCCTTCCAGAAACCATGTGGCCCACTGGACAGACGCAGGTGCGGGGTCCCTCCCAGCAGGGCATGCATCTGCCCCGCCTCATCCATGCTGCACCCCAACCCTTCTTCCGTCCCGGGTCGGGCGGGGCCCACAGTAAGCTCAGCTACTGGAGACACCATGGGCAGGGGGAGGGCATGGCAAAGGTCAGTTCTGAAAGTATACACTCTAAGCCCCCTGTTTGAGGTTCTAGGGGACACAGGTAGGGGAGGGGTATGCCTCATTCAAGGCAATGGGTCTGCATTGTCTGGTCTCTAGCCCTAACCCCCCACCCCCCAGCCTCAGGGGCCCATCCCAGACAGCCCTGCTGGGCTGGGGGAGTGGGGTGGGGTGGGGTGGGCCGGGCTGCCTGTGGGGGTTCATGGAGGTGGAGGAAAGAGTGTCTGAGGGCGGCCACAAGACCCACGTGGCTGGACAGGAGAGGAGTAAGGTCTGAAAGCTGAGCTGGATTGGGGAGGGGTGGCTGGTCCCCCCTTCGCCTCACAATGGAACTAATTTGAGTGCTGAGTGCGGGAACTTGAGCAGCCAGGCCCCCACTGGCTGGTCCCTCACCCTGACCTGAACCCCACAGCTATCTGGAAGGGGGCATTCTTCGGCACCCCTGGGGGAGAGGGCTGGGACCCGAGAGGCTTCTACTCCCCTTCCCTGCAGCAGAGTGAGAGGTCAGGGTCAGCCCCTGACCCAGAGGGCTGGCTCCGCAGAAATGTGCCTGTGATATCGGTTGGGGTGCTGGGGCAGAAATGCTGATCCCGGGTCAAGTGGAAGAGAGCGTGGGAGGTGCTGAGGCATCTGGGCCCTGAGGGGGTGGTCTCCTGGCTGAGGATGGGAGGACATGGGCTGTGGGCAGCCAGGCCGTGCTTGGGCTGAGGTGCTTATTGCTGTGCTAAGCCAGGCGAATATGGTAGCTCAGGCCTAGGCACCAGGACCCTGTCTCTGAGGGGGGGTTGGGGGAGGGCACAAAAGTGGGGTGGGGGAGGTGGCTGGAGCCGGGGTGCTAGGTGCCCCGAGGGGCCAGCTGCTATGGAGGGTCTGGCTGGCTGGCATCTGGTCAGCTGCCAGGGCTGAAACCTGAGCCGGCCAGCCAGAGCTGGGAGGTCTGTGGGAATTAGGGGAACTCGGGAAGCCCCTGTGGTGGGTGCTATGAAGCCAGACTCTCCTCATCAGCATCTGGCACTATTTCATGGGCCTGGAACTGTAACAGCAACCAGTGATTCCACACCATGACCACTGCCCAGTCCTGACCCCTGGCCTGCGGCCTGCGACCTGCGACCCTGGCTCAGCCCAGTCCTCTGAAAGCAGGAGGCCACTGAGGGCAACAGCTACGGGTGCCTAGACGCAGCCTGGTGCCTGCTCCGCAGCCTAGGGCACGAAGAGATGGGGCGCCCACGGGGCGCCCACAGTAGGGAGGAAGGGGCGGGCAGCCTGCGCTTCCTTCTACCCACCCTGCTCCCATGCGGGGGAGACTGGAGGACAAGGAGGGCTATGGAGAGGGGTGCTTTCGTGCTGGACCTGGCCCCCCTGGGCACAGACATGCCCAAGGGAGAGTGAGTTCCTGGAGGTGCAGCGGGCAGCTGCCCCAGCTGGCAGGGCTCATGGAGCGGGGCTCAGACTCCCCCCAAAAGTGGTGACCAACTCAGCGGGGTCCCTACAGAAATCTGGCCTCCCAGCCCCTTCAGCTGCGGTTGCTCTTGCTGCTCCCCCCCCCTGCCCTCCACCACAAGGCCGAGGCTAAGGGCCCACCTCAGAGGGAGGGGCTTTCCTGCCAGGTGGTCTCCTGGCAGTCCCCAGCTTGGCTCCCCATCCAGTCCAGTCTGAGGAAGTAACACTCGCCTCCGGGCCCCCTGACTCCGGGGCACACAGCACTCTGGACAATGCCGCCTCACCCAGGACTCTCAGCTCACCTCCCCCAAAGGCAGCCAGGTCCAGTAATGCAGGGGAAGCCGGAGCACCACTACCCTAAGAGGCTGTGGAGCAGTGTAGGGGGGCAGGGACCCCTCATGGCGCCTTTGCCTTACCTGGGCCAGCAGCCCGAGGGCGAGGAAGAGCACGGTGTCCATAGGGCGGCGGACAGAGCTGTGCCTCCGACTCGGACAGAACCCCACTGAGTGACAGCACAAGTGTGCGGGGGCGGAGGGGTAGAGAGTGAGTGAGTGACAACACAAGTGTGAGGGCGGGGCTGGGGCGGGGCCAAGTGAGTGACTGCGCGAGTGCAGAATGGAGCCAGGGGCCGGGCCAGGCCTCAGTGACAAGTGTGTGGGGTGGGAGGCTGCTGAGTGACAGCACAGTGCTGGGCAAGACAGTGCGGTCAAGAAAGAGTTAGAGCACCGTGTGGGTGGGCGGGAGGCAGGGCCTTGGCTCAGCTACAGCACAAGCGGGCTGGCTGGGATGGACTGAAGGCCAAGTGACAGTACGTGTGCGCCGAAGTTGGGCACTGGGCCAGTGACAGCACTTGGGAAGTTCCTGGGGGGGCGACTGTGGGCCCGGCCGGCCAGGTGTCAGGCAGCTTTCCTGGGATGCTCCGCTCCCAGGGCCAGGCGGTGGAACCCAGCCTGGCAGTAAAGGCATCCGTCAGTGGGGTCAGGCTAGGGTACCAGAGTGGGTTCATCCACTCCTTTTTTCCTTTTCTGGTCCCCAAACTCACCAGGCACAGTCCTGTCTCGGGACCTGGGCACTGCTGTTCCCTCCACCTGGATTGCTCTTCCCCGCTCTCCCCTAGATTTGCTGCTCACTGCCTCTGGGCTTTGTCTAATGGCACCTCCTCACCACCCTGTTAGACATGGTCACCACCCACCACAGGGAACTCACATCACTTGCCAAACATGTTCACGGCCTGTGGCGGAGCTCTCCTGGCACAGGCTTGTTCCCTGCTGACCCCCCGGGCTAGCACACGGAAAGGCCAGGCACAAGTCCAGCCCTCCCCACCTGAACTTCCTTCTTCCCTCCTTCGGTCTCTCAGTTCCCCTCGGTTGGCAGTTACTTGGTTAGGATCTCATGGCTCCCCTCAAGGCCCTGCCTGCCTGCTGTGTAGATGCGCTGTCTCTCACAGGCCCAGCAGGGGCTAAAGGTAGAGGAGAGGGAAGGAGGGGAGGAAGGGCTCTGTGGATTGACATGCACTCTGAGGAGCAGGAGCAGTGGGGCGTGGGGCTGCTGACCAGCCCTGGCCCTAGTCTGGGGAGCCTCCATCTGGGTCTTCTCTGTCACCGGGGCAGGCAGCGGCCTCTTGCTTTCCTCTCCAGATTGTTGGTCTACCAAGCAGGTGCAGCACCATCTGTGCCCTTGGCCTGCTTGAAAGGAGGCCAGGCTGCCTGGGGGCAGCTTTGGCAATGACTGTGTGCCTGGCACTCATTGTTTCAAGGTGGGAAGTGGGCAGCCCCCTCCATCTCCGGCCCTGAAGTCCTGGGGCTGGGAAGCAGACCCTGGGGGCCACCATCCCACCCCTGAGGTTAGGGACACCAAACATGGTGGGGAAGCCCTCTGAGGGCTTTGGGTTTCTGCCTCCTGTTAGTAGTGTAGAAGTGGGATTGGGGGTGGGGGTGGGGTGGGGGTGGGGAGTGAGGGAGCTGCACTACCCAGAAAGAGGCGGCCCTAGTTCCCAGGGGCAACCTCAGGCACCCTAACGCCGGGGACAGAGATGGCCCTATGATACCCTCTCCCCTTCTTCCACCCTCCCTGCTTTCCACCCTTCCTCTGCCTTGTTCTTGACCATCTGCCTTCTACACAGCAACCTCCCTCTGGGTCTGGGGGTCACCAAGGCAGAGGGTAAGCTGGGTCTGGTCTGGGTGAGCCCAAAGCGCAGGGAAAGGCCACTGGGGAAGGGGTGTGGTGCCCAGGCTGAGGCAATGCCCCAGGTAAACAACCCTCCCCCACGGGACTGTCCCCTGTCCTGGGCCAGGGCAATTGTTCTCTCCAGCAGCCTCAGTTTCTTCCTCGTCAAGAGAGGGGGTTGGCTTCCACGAGCCAGGAGATCCTGTCGGATGCTGGTCCACCTGAGGCCCCAGAGCTGGCTGTCGGCACCAGACCCCCTGGCTCCCCGCCCACCTCTGGGCCACCTCCTCCTCTTCCAGCTCTGCAGCCTCCCCTCAGACTCTGCAGGTCGTCAGCCCCATGGCTCAACTCCTCAGTCCTGCCCTACCACTTGCAAACCTGCTCTCCGTTTTGCAGTTCGGTTCGGTCCTGGGATCATGCCTAGGAGGAGGGACATGCCGAGGCCTCTGAGCGAGTGGGCTCCCTGTGGAGGCCTGAGGGCGGGGCACGCGAGTGGGCAGGCCCGAAGCTCCGGGTCATCTCCCTCCCCAGGTGGGGCAGTGGGGGGCTTTATTCCTTCCTCAGTTCACTATTCAAGGCCTGGCGGTGCCCAGGCTTGGATTGCAGGGGACTGAGCCCGAGTGGAGCAGAGCTGGGGAAGCAGGATCAGGGCCCTGCATCCACCAGAGCCCCGATAAAGGTCAGGGTGGTTCCCACCCCCGTTCTTCTGGGGGACCCCTCTTGGGCAGTGCCTCTTTGATTTTAGGTGCAGGGACATGGGTTGGGCAGGACTGACCTCACCCAGCCACCAGGGCCTGAGTTTGGTCAGGGCTCACACAGACAGGATGCAGCGGGTACCTGCCTGATTGCCTAAGGGGGTGCACTTGTGAACGGGCAGGAGGTGCACTGGGGGTGTGCAGAACCCGGGGAGGCCCAGAGGGCAGCAAGCAGTCTACTGGTGGAAGGCAGGGGTCCAGGGTGGCCAGGGACCGACCCTGGGGCTCATACTCTGTGTTTGGGGATTTTCAGCTTAGGATAAAAGGGGGGCACTGACCGCCTTCAGCAGACAGGTGAAGCTATTATAACTCTAGAACAATCATGTAAGTATTTACTTTAGAATAATGCAGTTATATAGTGAAACAAGTATTATTGTTATGCAGGTTTATATAGAATTGAATGTAGATATGTAATACACACACCCACAGTCTTCTGCAGCAGGGCCTCTCTCACAGCAGGCAAGGACCTGGAAGCTCAAGGAGGCCCACACAAGCAGGGCCTGGCCAGGAGCCTCGGGCCGCCTGCTGCAGGGCGCCTCCCTTTCCACAGCCCAGATGACGTTGGGAGAGAGGCTGAGTAGAGGCAGGTCTCGCTTCCTTCTTCCTTCCCCCTTTTCTCTCTTTCTTCCCTCCCTCCCCCCACTCCCCGATGCCCTCCTGCCCTCTGGCAGCCCCTCTGTGCCAGCCCCTTCCAGGCTCTGGGCTTCGGTGCTGAGGAAGGTCCTTTCGGGGCCTGCCCTCCCAAGGGAGCCAGAGCACCAAGAAACCCTAACGAGGTGAAGTTGTGTGTGTTCTCGGTGAAGCCAGGTACATGTGTGCGCAGATGGGTGAGGAGTTAGGGGGAGGGGATAAAGGGGTGGGGCAGATCTGGAAGGGTCCTGAACCCCTGCCTGGGGCCCCCTGGCCTGGATGGGCAGTGAGGCCATTCAGAGAGCTTCTCAGCCTTCAAAGCCACCCAGGGTCAGAGAAGATGGCAAGGTGGGCTGGAGTGCCAGGCATCCAGGGGATACAGGGGGGAGGTGGGAGGGGGAGGGTGGTGGGTGGGGGCTGAGGCCAGGACGGTGGCTCTTAGACCCAGTGCCTGGCCTGGGGAGAACAGGGGTGTCACTGCTCTGTCCAGTCCTCACCCACCCCCTGGCAGCCACAGGGCACAGTACAGGCAGAGGCCTCCTTGGACGGTGCAAGTTCAAGGCAGCACTGGTCAGGTTGGGGGGACCTTGTCTTTGTCAGAAGCCCAGTGGCACCCCCAACGAATGAAGAATAGTCATTCTCAAACTATGTTTTTACTCTTGAGAGCTCAAAAAAGGGTCGGACAGACAGCAGGTAGAAGCTGTGAGGCCAGGTGGCCCTGAGGACTTGGGGGTGAGGAGCCAACAGCTGCTGATGCAACATGATCCCTGGTCCTGGTTCCACAGGGAGCTGGGCCAGAGGGACCCTGGGCAGCAGGCTCGGTCCTGGACTCCCTCCGGGGCTTTGCCTGAGCTCCGAGCCCCCTGGGGTGGGGGCTTGAGACCCATCTCCTGTCCTGCTGAGCAGTCACCTGCCCAGCACCCCTGACTCAGGGATGGAAAACCTGGCCAGTGGCCAGCTTTCCTGTGTCCATCAGGTGATAATCAGCCCCAGCCAGACTTGGCCCTGGTACTGGGGGAGGAGACTGGCCAGGGTGGTAGGGCGGAACAGGGAGAGGGCCTGGTTCCAGTGGCTCAGGCCATGCTTGCTGGCACCAGCAGAGGGCAGTGTGGCTCCAGGGAAGCCACGTGGATGCAGCAGGGATGTCAGGCTGAGAGGAGAGAGGTTGTAGCCTGGTCCTCCCTCTTGCAGGGCTTGAGCTTAGGGGGCAGCTGTGAGGAGCGATGGTGGGTCCTTCTCGCCCCTACCCTGGACACACTTGCCCCCTACACACTCCTCCAGAAGTGCAGCCTCCACCACGACCCTGTACCCCCTTGTCCCTCCCGGGGTGAAGGGACCCCAGCCAAGACCCCTGTGCACATCCACCCCAGAGAGGACCTTGGGCTGCCGGCCCCTCCAGAAGTTTTAGCCAGGTGGAAGCAGCCTGCCTGAAGTCTTACCCTGGGCCTGCGGTCAGCCCAGCCCCCATCCCCATGGCTGGCCCGAATGTGCTGGGACGGTTGGGGGCAACCAGGCCAGCAGGGGATAGCGGGGCATGGCATTTGCCAAATGGCACTGTTGTGGGCCAAGCCAGGGCAACCCAGGCCTGGCCTTGATGAGGGGGCTGGAGGACCAGCGAGGCTCAAGGGAGCAGGACTGGCCACAGTGACAGTGGGTGCCCGGATAGGGCCAGGTGGAGGGGACACCAGGGAACAGAGGCCAGGCTCAGAGGGTCAAATTTGAAAGCAATTTGTAAGTCTTAAGAGCCACCCTGAGACTCGTTTTTGGTGGAAAAATCTTCACCAAGACGTGCCAGGGCCAAGCTGGGACCACCATGCACCTGAGACCCCCGGGCAGGGTGCGGGCCCTCTGTCGTTCATATGCAAAGCCTCAGGGTGCTGGGGACCCAGGATAGAGTGGGTGTGGGCAGCCCCCCTCTGACCTGGGCAGGAGGGTGTGGAG